GTGGTTGTGTTTTCGTCGTCGCTCTGTTAGTACGTCATATGCTTCGTTGATCTGATTGGTTTATTTGGCCCGTCTATCACCAACATAGGCCAATCAGCTAACAGTATTTTCGCCCCTTCCCAAAAAGTACTTCAACGGAAGGTTTCCAGATGGATATGCGGAGCAAATCCATCTGGCGGAGTCAGGTTACCTTTCAGAGACATAGACAGGTATGGGGCATTGCAGGCTAACAAAGAAGCCAAACGACCCCTATTCCAAAGGGGGGGACCCGTTCATCCGTTTCTATCTGCATGTTTTCTAAACTAAAACCCGGCTTTGTTGGGCTGCTGAATAAAACCAGGAACTAAACGCTATTTCTGACATTTTGAAATGAAAAATCTTCCTGGATGGAAGAGAAACATCTTCAAACTTGGAAACAAAGTCCAGTGGATTCATTTTTTTTACTTTTCTGGAATCGCAATGCGCTCTGTTTACTCTCCACTACTTACAGGTTATTTATGGAATCGTTACTTTCCCTCCAGCGACGCCTTCCTGTCCCTGAACTAACCACTTACAGCTTTCCTTCCTGAAACCTGCGTATGATTTCTCCCCACTTTACAGGATAATTATCTAGACTCGCTCTGGAGACGGTGGCTCCGCAGGTCGGGGTACGTCTGTAACCGGCGGGTTGTCGGTTGGAGCTCCTGCTCTAGCGCCTCACCTGCCCTGCCTGCGGTAACCCCTTACAGGTTACCTTTTCACAAAGTCTTTTATTTAGCCAGGCTTTAAGCTCACTGTACCAGAACAAGGGTTCCCAAAGTGGGGGTCGGGGTCACGACAGTTTTCACAATCATTGTTTATTGCACCCTAATATTAGCTGCCTGTTGCACGTCAGAACTGATGTCTACTGGGACAGTTCCTCTGTCAGGATATCAGAGTTTGAGAACTATTTAGATTTGACCTGGGTTTCAGATTCCTGTTTATATCTATTTTTATTTTTATCTGTGTATATAATATGTATATACTTTTATATACATGTTTAAGCCACATTTGACATTTAAATATGATTCCCATTAGAATTTAAGTTCAAATTAAAGTAATGTATAAATTACTGTAGAATAATGTTATGGCTGTTGTGTTATTTTGTGTTGTCAATATGCTTGTGTTTGGATACGCCTATAGTGCGTGCGCACTTTATATACGTTTATAGTCACTTGCACCGTTACTGTGGGGGCTTGAAGTTTTGGGAACCCTGTTCTAGAAGCTACAGATTACGCTTCCATAACAGAGATTATTCCTGGAACCTGCAGGCTCTTCTGGAAGGTTTCCTTGGTCTCACAACTTAACTCGATGTTTATTTAGATGTTACATTCATGCACATTACAGACTGATCTCCAAATTTTGCACGTCAGTTTCCCTCTGATGAGTTTCTAGAACATACTACCTATTTCCCAGGACTTCCATGTTACTTGTAAGAAAATTACAGGTTGCTCTTTGGCCCCTCAGAGGCTTTTCTCTTAATGTTTTGTAAAGTAATGAAAATACAGTGTAAGGTCCAGGTAAGTTAACCGTCAGGTTTGGGGGAAAAGGATGGTACGTATCTCTTACAACATTTTCTACAACATTTAAAACAAATGCATCAGGATCCCATTGATAGCGTGTTTTTCTTGAAGTTATTCTTTAAAGGAAGTCTGGTCAGCAAGGAATAATCAATGAATCAGTATTTATACATAAAAATAATACGTTTGCGATGCTTTAGCCTCTTAACACCCACCTCGTTTTAGAAAGATTTTGCCTATTTTGCATACCCAAATGGAAAAGCAAATAACGTAGGAACTTTAAGCCCAAATTACATGTGTGACACATTATTTAAAAGCTAACACCTCCTAGTTTCTGAATATATACATGAAAAGTGGGTGAGTAAAACACAGCCCAAGCTGCATCAGTTCAAACATGACAAAGTCAAGTTTTTTTTTTAATTCTTGAAAATAATAGATCTTTTTTGAGCAGCAGTAATAAAGACATGCTTGCTTGTTGTGGCTCTTTGTCATGTTTACATTTTGACCTGCTGCTATGTCTGTTTAATTGTGCTTTGGTGCTCACTGTGTCCATAATATAAACTCTGTAATTTTCCTGCATTCTGAGTTATTACATGTAAACGCTTTAAAACAGGTCATCAGAGACCCGGTGGGTTTGGAGAGGTAAATCCTTAAAAAAAATAATAATAATAATTTTTGCTGTGATCACTGAGTCTGGGAGCGGCCATTTTTGTCCAAATATAGTAGCCCCTCCCTCCTGCCATCTTCCGGCAGTGACGTCACGGTGCGGTAAGCCTAGCGCCATTCTCCCCACTTTCCAAGCTAAATCAATGGGAACTACTAGACACATCTGCAATCAACAACAATTATTGAAGATTTCCAGAGGACTTCACCATTGAAATTCACCAGAGCTATAGTGAAACTGACAATGCCCACGTGCATGGCAGCTGGATGCTGGAATACATCGGGGAAAAACCCGTAATATGTAGCCAACATTTGGAAGAAGAATGTTTTCAAGATGACTTGGATAATAGCGCGTTGTGACAAACACCAGATACAGCACTGGGACTTGATCAACAGCCGATACCGCACCGTGACGTTACACATTCACATGAAAATTACTCTGAATTAAAAACACTGATCATTTATTGAACAGGATGGAATAATTAAAGAACTTTCAGAAGCTTGATTTATAAATATTAGCGAACTTTTCCTTTAACAAGAAGCGATTTGTTTCGATGTTTATCTGTCGGCACATGAACCTTTTTTCAATGCTCTGAATTAGCTCATAATGTTTATGAAATCAATGTAAACTTCACATTTTTCCCCAGGTGACATGGATATTAGAATTAAAAGCACACTCTGGAAAAAACAACCACTCTTTACAGGAACGTCTTGATTAAAGGAATAAAGGCTGTTTGTTCTTAACAGGTTTTATATCAGGTATTTTCCTGTAGAAACTTTTTGTAGCTGATTGTTTTCTCCTGTGTCCTGAAGGTCTGAGCTCCAGGTCGCTGGTCTCCAGTCAGCAGGTGTCAGGACACTCCTCAGCAGGTAGGAGGAAACATCAAATCCAGAACAAGAAAAAAAAATATTAAATTCAATGTGTTCTTATTTAGAAGGCAGTAAAATTGATTAATTAGCTTCTTTTTTTTATAAAATAAAAAAACAAACTGAAAACAGGATCATCATTTATAAAAAAAAAACATACAAAAACAGGCATTGCAGAAAGCAAACACTTCTTATGGAAGAGGATCAGGGCAACTGAAAAAATAAAAAAAGTTAGCTGATTTTTACATTTTATTTCAGTGTAAAAAATTTGACTTTAATCTGTCATAATTCTGACTGAATTCTGCCAGCTAACAAACATGTTAGCATTCAGCCCTAGCCATGTCTGTTTTAGAGACTAGCTCTCTTGTTTTAATCACCTTCTGCTCTTCCATTAATGAAATGTTATCACTGGGGGCAACTCAGGTATGTAAAAAGTCAAAGTCAAAGTAATTACATCATTTTCAACAGAAAAAAAAAAAAATTATATATATATATATATATATATATATATATATATATATATATATATATATATATATATATATATATATATATATATATATATATAAATACGTATATATACATGTATATATATATGTATATATATATATATATATATGTATATATACATATATATATATTTATACATACATACATACATACATACATACATACATACATACATACATACATACGTACTATGTCAGTAGGTAACACCGACGACTCCGGTACAGGTGACTGTGGGTTCGATTCCCAGTACGGACATCCAGGTGGACCCTTAGGTAAGGTCCTTTGTGCTTAGTGGCCTACCTCAGGCATGAGTGAAACCGCAAATACAAGAGCCATACCGGCTCGGACGTCGCCCGGGTTAACAAGGTCCGCGTCAGTTGCTAGGGAACCAGTAACCATTACAACGGCAGATGTCCAAGAAAGAGCGGCAGGTATGAAGAGCTGGACAGCAATAGGCCCTGACATGATCCACACCTACTGGCTGAAAAAACTAACCGCACTTCATGCATGCCTCGCAGGACAAATGAACCAACTGCTGATGGATGGGACCCACCCAGAATGGTTAACCCAAGGACGGACAATCCTGATCATGAAGGATCCCCAGAAGGGAACAACCCCATCCAATTACCGGCCAATAACTATGCACAACATGGAAGCTCCTGTCAGGCATCATAGCGGCTAAGATGAATAGGCACATGGCTCAATACATGCACCCTTCCCAGAAGGGAATAGGCAGAGGAGCCAAGCACCAGCTACTAGTGGATAGAGCAGTCACCCGAGACTGTAAGACCAGGCAGACAAATCTGTGCACTGCCTGTATTGACTATAAGAAAGCCTATGACTCAATGCCACATACATGGATACTGGAAAGCCTGGAAATGTACAAGATCAACAGGACTCTAATAGCCTTCATCAAGAACTCAATGAAGCTGTGGAAGACAAGTATGCAATGCAAAGCCAATAGCACAAGTCACCATCAAGTGCGGCATATACCAGGGTGATGCACTATCCCCACTCCTGTTCTGCATAGGCCTTAGCCCCCTCAGCCAGATCATCACAAAGACTGGCTACGGATACCAATTCCGAAGCGGAACAATCATCAGTCACCTCCTCTACATGGATGACATCAAGCTGTATGCCAGGAGTGAGCGAGACATCGACTCACTGATCCACACTACCAGGATCTACAGCAACGACATTGGGATGTCATTCGGACTGGACAAGTGCGGTCGCATGGTCTCAAACAGAGGGAAGATGATCAGAACCGAGGGGGTTGAACTACCAGAAGGCCACATAACAGATGTTCAGGACAGCTACAAATACCTTGGGGTGCCACAGGCTAACGGAAACCACGAGGAGATGGCAAGAAAGACTGCCACAGCTAAATACCTACAAAGAGTAAGGCAGGTCCTGAAAAGTCAGCTGAATGGGAAAAGCAAGATCCAAGCCATCAACACATATGCCCTACCAGTCATCAGATACCCCGCTGGTATAATAAACTGGCCAAAAGAGAAGATAGAGGCTACTGACATCAAGACAAGAAAGCTCCTTACAATGGAGGGTTCCACCCCAAATCCAGCACCCTGAGACTGTACACCAAGCGTAGCGAGGGAGGCCGAGGGCTAGTGAGTGTCAAGACCACTGTCAAGGGGGAAACAACTAAGATCCAGGAGTACATCAGGAAGATGGCCCCCAAAGTAAAATGGCTTGGTGAGTACCTCAGGCAGGAGAAAACTGAAAGTGAGGACAAGAAAGAGGAAGAAGAACCACCATCATGGAGGGACAAGCCGCTGCACGGCGTATACCACAGACAAATAGAAGAAGTGGCTGATATCAAAAAATCCTACCAGTGGCTGGAAAAGGCTGGACTGAAGGACAGCACAGAGGCCCTAATCATGGCAGCACAAGAACAGGCACTCAGTACAAGATCAATAGAGGCCAGGGTCTACCACACCAGGCAGGACCCCCGGTGCAGACTGTGCAAAGATGCCCCTGAAACAATACAGCATATAACAGCAGGGTGTAAAATGCAGGCAGGAAGTGCATACATGGAACGCCACAACCAGGTTGCTGTCATAGTGTACAGCAGGGGTGCTCAAGTCCAGTCCTCAAGAGCTACCATCCTGTACCTTTTAGATGCATCTCTTCTCCAACACACCAGAATCGAACGGCTCAATCCATCATTTAGCCCAGCAGAGGAAAGGTAACGAGCCACTCATTTGATTCAGGTGTGTTAAAAGTGGGGTGCATCAAAAAGTTGCAGGATAGTAGCTCTTGAGGACTGGACTTGAGCACCCCTGGTGTACAGGAACATCTGCCATGAGTATGGGCTGGAAGTCCCAAGGTCAAAATGGAAGACACCTCCTAAGGTAGTTGAGAATGACCGAGCTAAGATCCTATGGGACTTCAAGATCCAGACTGACAAACAGGTGATGGCTAACCAACCAGACATCGTGTTGATGGACAAACAGCAGAAGAAGGCAGTAGTGATAGATGTGGCAATCCCAAGCGACAGCAACATCAAGAAGAAAGAACACGAGAAGCTTGAGAAATACCAAGGGCTGAAGGAGGAGCTAGAAAAGATGTGGAAAGTAAGAGCAGCAGTGGTGCCAGTGGTAATTGGAGCACTGGGGGCTGTGACCCCCAAACTGGGAGAGTGGCTACAGCAGATTCCAGGTAAAACATCAGAGGTCTCTGTCCAGAAGAGTGCAGTCCTAGGAACAGCTAAGATACTGCGCAGAACCCTCAAACTCCCAGGCCTTTTTATCTATGATTTCACTGAAGAGCCCTTAGATGACTTGCAAAGACATAATTTTCTCTTTACCCCTTAAGACAAAATCTAGTTTGAAAAAGAAACAATCATTTCTGATCCTGATTGATCAATTCTGTATTTTTTATGTTAATATATTGATGTGTGCATAATTAACCACAGGGTTTTGTTGTCAAGTAAAGGTTGATATATGAAAAATTAAAATTTTTTCATATGTCAGAACAATTCACTTTTGAGTATTACTGCTGCCACCGTCTGTATTAGAGGGAAAAATGGCCCCACATCTAGCTCCTCCCCTGGCTGGCCCCCTCCTGGCCCCTGGTACATTTATCTAGAACCACCACTGCTCTAATGGTCTTTGTTTTGTCTCTTTCTTTCCACAGACAGTGAAGGGAAGAAGTAGAATCATGTGACCGGGTCTCACATGATGGACGGCAGATTTATCAGACATCAATTCCTTGGTGTGGAATAAGCTTCGCCTCGCTGAGAGGCAGGGAACAAGCAAAACAGACAAACCTCTTTCATTTCCTACTGATGAACACCTACGGTTTTATAACACGTCACAGAGGAGCAGATGGGGCGGGGAGGGTCAGGTCGCTGGAACTAAACCGTTTGTCTACAAGGGTTGGACTCCTTCTATAAACCCAGATGTCTTTGTTTGGACAGAAACAGGCGTTTGGTAAAAGAGGAAACATCCTAGAGCCCCGTTCACTCAGCTTTACCTCTGCTGTTGTGTTTAACTTTATGAAATGCACATTTATTGTAGTGTAATATAATGACGATATGACTGAATGTAAAAGTAATAACTCTGTTCCAACTCTGTGGATCCTCTTTTTTTAAAAGCCTGTTGGGACAAGAACAGCATTAGGAAGCTAAAAAGTATATAATTATTGTTAATCTCATTCTGATTATTGAAGTGGTCCTCCCTCCTTCATAGTGCTGACGCTACATTTGTATAACTAACCTGTTATTGAGTGTAAACATGTTGATTGTATTGTCTTTATGTGGGAGTAAAACCTTCACCTGGACCCATCCAGTGCCATTTACCAAGCCCTAGTGGTGTAAATATATTCTGTACAGATTAATGGCAGAGCACTTCCATGCCCTCTCTGTTGATCACCATCAGCCATGCAACGCAGCAACGCCCAGCAGAACCACTAGTCTCCTCATTTTCCCTCATTGTCGGTTTTCATAAGTTACATATTTCATCTAAAGCTTTGGGTTGAAGCTAAACCTCATTCTTCACTTTTTTGAAAAAGGAAATATTGCAAAATGGATAAAACATGACATATGGAACATCAAGTTTTTTAAAGGAAAAGTCCGGTCAGTACACACTGGAAAAAATCTAAATTAGGTAAGTCATTTTTTTCTTAAAATAAGTGCATTTGTTCTCGTATTGAGGAGGTAAAGGAGACATAACAATTTACACTTAAAATAAGAAACTACAATTGCATTGTGTTGTTTCAAGTACATATTATCTATTTATCTTATTTTAAGAGTAAAATTACTCATTCCATTGGCAAACTATCTCATTAATTTAGGACATTTTTACTTATTTCTAGATCGTTTTTGCAGTGAAGTTACATTTAAAAGAAGAAAACACAATTGCATTGTCTTATTTCAAGCACATACTATCTAATTATCTTATTTTAAGAGTAAATATACTCATTCCATTGGCAAATTATAAGCAACACACTTATTACACTTAATTTAAGAAATGTTGACTTATTTCTAGATCGTTTTTGCAGTGTACTGCAAAATAATGAAATCTCAAGAAGTCATTTTTTTCCTCAAAATAAGTGTTTTTTTCTTGAATTTAGAAGGTGAGACGCTTTGCCAATGGAATAAGACAATTTACTTAATTCACTTAATTTAAGAAATGTTTAACTTCTCTCTAGATTGTTTCTAGTGTAAGAAACGATCAATGGATCCTTATTTATACCCAAAACCAATATGTCTGTGGTGATTTAACTAATTCAGTGATTCGGTAATTCATAATCAGTAAAAAAAAATGAAAGCTAATTTTCATCAAGATCACTGAGTCTGGGAGCGGCCATTTTTACCCAAATATAGTATTCCAAAAAATGAAAGTTAGAAATAATCCACTGGACTTTCTTTCAAAGTTTGAAGATGTTTTTCTTCCATCCAGGAAGCTTTTTCAATTCAAAATGTCAGAAGTTTTTGTTTAGAAAACATGCAAATTGTAACGGATGAACGGGTCCACCCACTTACTCCAATTACTCTGAATTAAAAACACAGATCATTTATTGAACAGTATGGAATGATTTTATATTTAAAGAACTTTCAGAAGTTTGAATTCTGAATATGAGCGGACTTGTCCTTTAATACATTGCCTTAACCTTAGGAGATAGGACTGAAAGTGATTAGTTCTTGCTTAATTATAATAGCGTACTAAACTACATCGTGTTAAATGTTTTCACATCCTTTCTGTTCAATTTCTCGTCATTCAGTCCAACATTATTTGATTAGAAAATTTTTATCTGTATTTTTTGGACCTTATTTATAAAATTTTATATTATTAAATGCAGACATAAAGTGGAAAAATACTCAGCCTGAATTAGGCCTACAGTATGGATTGTGTTTTTGGGACAGATTGTCTCAATGCTAAGTGGGCCAAAGCTAGCATGTGGCTAACACCTTGAAACCTGAACATCAGGCTTTCTTGCTAAAATCAATTGGATTTTGTTGTTTTGTTTTTGTTTTTAAATGAATATTGTATTATTTAACAACCTGCTAGTTAAACAAATTACGGTACTTTTAATTAAAATCGGTTAGTGGTATTGTCGAGAAATTGAGTGGGTTGTTTTTTTAATCTACCACAGGCGCCACATCCACGGCTAGGTATATTAGCTCCCTAGTTAGCGTAAGATTTTTTCCTACATTAAAGGATAACAAAATTATTATGAAAATGCTCAAATTAGCATTTTTATTGATAATACTTATTTTAGAAGCTGTGTTTTGTTTCTATCACACAGCTTTAACAAAATGAACTGGAGTAGCTATTAGCTTGCATTGCAAATTAAGTTAAACTCTTATTAATATTCCAAAAGGGAAATTTAAATGTTCCTGGATTCTTGTTTGATATCTAGATTTTGCTGCAGCTAAATCTGACCATGAAATAAGAATAATTGCGCCTATTTAATGCTATTCCACAAAAAAAAAAAAAAAAACCTGTAGATTAGCAATGGCAATGTTTTTTTAGCAGTTGCTAATTCTAGTTTAGATATTTTTTTCATATTGGTTTAAACATCACTGAACTGTTAAATAAAAAGCTTAATTTCAATCAAATTTAGGGTAAATATTCTCAGAAATGATTTATTTTGTTATGGATATTAGAAGGAGGATTACATTTAATCAAGTTGTTTGTTTACAAAGTGCCAAATCACAAGAAATATTGTGTTCTGGTCATTTATACTCAACCCAACAGGTCAAGTTCAGTTACATTTATATCAACTGCAGTCATGTTTATACTGTCTAAAACTTGCCCAATTCAATCGAGTTAAATTCTGTTTGAAACGGTCAAATATGTATTTTTTAGTTTTAATAATTTACATTTTATTTAACAAAAACAATGATGATCATAATCGCAGATTAAATGTTGCAGGAGGGGTCTTACTAAGAAAACTAAGAGCAATATTCAAGCCAATCAGGAGTCCCACATTGTGAGCAAGCATAGGGCAACAGTGGAGAGAAACAATTAAAAACATTTCCATTTTTCAACTATTTAAAGGCCTATTTTCATCAAATTCTAACATTTTGATCTCAGCTTTAGTTTCTGGCCTTATAATTTCTCCCTGTCATTGCATGATGCTTGTAGTATTACAGACATGGATAAAATGTAGCCCAAACATTAAGTTTTAAACCCAGTAGGCTATAAAGCTGAAATAAAAACCAGTGTAACACTGCTGTGTTTTCAGACAGACCATCTTGGTTTAAGTAAACGGGGCATTTTTAAAATAAATACCAAAAAGTTCAGTGTTACAGGGCAGAGATTTGTGCTTCACTATCTGTTCCCTATAAATGTGTAAGTTGTTTGTTAGATCATTTACGGTTCTACATACAGCAGGACTGTATTTCACAGGTCAAGAGGAAGAGTTCTTAGATGCAGGTTGATAAAGTTTTTATTGGTTGCCGGTGTTCTGTCAGACGAGCATACCTACTCAGACCAGTATACCCAGAGTCAATCCCCAGTAATCCCTATAGTTTTGTATGAAAAATAAACTTTAAACTACCTCAAAGGGCTTGTATCCCTTTAGTATTGTACAAAAACTATTTAATTACTTACTTTTTGGTGTTTTTTTTTTAAGCGTATGGCGATCTGACCTTAAATTTTTTGTTTTTTTTGTACAGGACTAAAGGGATACACCTACGTTGAGTTACACTGGAAAAAGTATTACCTTGCTCAAATAAAAAAAATTATATGATGTCCAGATATCACATCTAAAAAACTTGAACTTACAGAATCTGAATTTAATCACTTATTATGATCTGATTATTTTATGTTGATGTAAACAATAATTCTGCACTTGACCCATCTTAAAATCTTTGCCCTCATCCAAATAATTTTCTGAACATTTCAGTTGATGAACCAAAGTAATATATTGAAATTGAACCAGCCTAATGTACCTACTTTTAACTAAATTAACATTAATTAATGTTTGTATTGAAACCGGTTAATTAATTTTAATATAACAAAGTTATAATGTTCACATTTCATTGGACTTTACTTCAAAAATCATTTCCATTTCCCATCTTACAAACTATAAAAAAAAACACCTGGCCAACAGATTACTTTAAATGTATTTATTAATTGTTAATTTAGCCTTAAATGGTGTAAATCCAGGTGGTGTAAATTGACGTTAACTAACCTCGGCAAGTGGTAACAGTTAGCATCCGTCGCTAACATGCTAACCACAACAGCCCTGCTGCTCTTTATAACATGGAGGCTCCCGCTGCCAGTGGTGGAGGGTATCCAGCATTTACCTCAAACAAAACTCCACTCTGTACCTCCAAGCAGTGATTGTTTAGCTCTGGATGTAGCCAGAGCTACGAGCGAGTGCTTTAGGCTAGCTAACATTAGCGATTAATTGTCATAACGTTATCAGTAAATGCGTAAACCCTCTCAGACGTCAACTATCTAGTATTAACTAATTAACGAGCCAGCTATAACATTGACTATATGCAACTGCTTTGCTAATTGTGTTTATTTATGGGCGAAATCCACCCAGGATGTAGAGACGAATAAAATGGCGCTCTCGCATGGTCTGGGACTTGGACTTGATCTGACTGCATCGTAAAAAGCGCAATTCACTTGGGATTCAAACACAAAAAAAATACCTGCAGGTCATGAAGAAATATATACATATTGAGAGAAATCAAAAACTTTGTTTTGGGTCGTTTATAGTCATATTTAGTTCAGGTTAAATCAAACTTGATGTCTCAACATCCAAAAAGAATGAGTTAAATCAATAATTTTATCCAGCTTAGAGTGACGGTCATTAGTTTGAATGAACAGCTACATGTTAAACTTTTTTCCTGGTAATTTAAAGTCTATTTTTAATACAAAACTAAAAGGATAAAAGCAAATCTGACGTCTTGCGCATGCGTATTGACTATAACAGGGTCTTCAACGTTTTCCAGGCCAAGGAACCCCAAACTGATGGCGAGATGGAGCGGGGACCCCCTAATTATATATATTCTATGAAATAGTGTTCTATCAAACTGGTCCTATAGTCACTCTATTACAGATGGAGTAATGTAACTAAAGTAATTTCTCCCTGGGATTATTAAAGTATTTCTGATTCCTGGTTGATGGAACAGGTGTTGTGAATGAAACGGTGCCCAGCTTGAAAGAGCTCCTGTGTGTCTCTGAATGTGAGCATTGATGACTGAAAGACATCTTCTGCCTCCATTTATCTGTTTACTACAGTCTGTTGGATTCATGTTCATGTGGATTTAAAGACATTTCAATGCAGGCCAACAGATTACTTTAAATATATAAAATTGCGACCCCCGTGCAGTACCTACGTGGACCCCCTAGGGGTCACGGACCCCCTGTTGAAGACCTCCGAACTATAGGTATGCTGATCTGACAGAACACCGGTTTACCTGAACATTTCAGGTTGGAGGAGGTTTTATTTTCATCCCCTATTTGTGGACAGTTAGCATGTTACAGGAAATACCGGCTGACTGACACCTGATGATGCTTTCTGGATGCACAAAGTAAATACCTTTAAAAATGTAAGGCAAACATCTGTATTGTTAGCGAGTTGTGGATGTATTGCCCCTTCTCTGATGACATTAGTGACATGAGTGATTAATACAATCAGCTTTTACCTCGAGTTTTACACCACAGCCAAAACTCCCAATGCATTTTAATATTTATCTGCCCAATTTAATTTATAATTAGGTCACCTAAAAAGACTAATGTTTGTCGGGATCAAAATAGAATTGATGGTGAAAAAGATGTAATTTAAAGGAAAAGTCCGTTCAGCGCTCATTATTTATACCTAAAACTAATACGTTCGCAGTGATTTAATGAAATTAGCGTTAATCAGTAAAAAAAATAAAAATAATACTTTTTGGTCATGATCACTGAGTCTGGGAGCGGCCATTTTTGCCCAAATACAGTAGCCCCTCCCTCCTGCCCTCTTCCAGCTGTGACGTCACGGTGCGGTAAGCCTAGCGCCATTCTCCCCGCTTTCCAAGCTAAATCAATGGGAACTACTAGACACATCTGCAATCAACAACAATTATTGAAGATTTCACCATTGAAATTCACCAGAGCTATAGTGAAACTGACAATGTCCACGTGCATGGCAGCTGGATGCTGGAATACATCGGGTAAAAGTGAAAAAAAGAGTTATTCCACCTTTCTGATTCCTGATCCTCCACGGACGGGTTGGTCGTTGGATCGCCAACTTGAAGAGGGAGGATTTGCCATCGAACTTCTGGCCGGAGAAAAAACCCGTAATATGTAGCCAACATTTGGAAGAAGAATGTTTTCAAGATGACTTGGATAATAGCGCGTTGTGACAAACACCAGATACAGCACTGGGACTTGATCAACAGCCGATACCGCACCGTGACGTCACTAACCAGTAGGTGGCAGTAGTGTTCTTTGACAAACATGGATGCCTCCAGTAAAGCACATTCACATGAAAATTACTCTGAATTAAAAACACTGATCATTTATTGAACAGGATGGAATCATTTCACATTTAAAGAACTTTCAGAAGTTTGAATTCTGAATATGAGCGACTTTTCCTTTAAAGCATCTGGATGAGGCTGTTTATTGAATATTTGGTCAGTAGAAAGCTGCACATCATCGCGCTGTGGTCTGCATGCTCTCTAATTGGACAGGTTAAGGCATTTCGCAGCACTTTGATCCAGACTTGCATCATGAGGGACTCACCCAATGTTATTTAAAGCCAAACTTTGAATAATTAAGCTCATTCTCCAACAAACAGCATATCTATCAGCAGCTCTGCCTCACCAACACAACACCTTACCTTCATAGTATCGGTGGTCGTTTTATTACTTGAATTTAGTGCTATGGACACTGTTTACAAACTTCTGTCAGCTTTGTGGGGACGCCATGGTCGCCTCATAGAGGCTGCTTGGTCTGTTCAGTTCATCCGCCTGGTGTACTCAGTGAATAACGCTCAGAAACTGTATAAACATAAGTCCTGCTGTTGCTTTTTTATACTGTATATGCCTTAATTCATATGGTTGGCAATCATGATTAAAGGATCTTTATATACTCTTTGTTTGGATTTATTTTCTTATCTAAATTTTTTACAGTTTTGTTCTAATAGTGAGACTTCCTGGAGGAAGTCTTACCTTTATCAGGTAACAAATGAATTCAACATGGCGTCCATATGTTACTATCTAGAGTTTCTTTCTTTTCACAAAAGATAAAAGCTGGTTTATAGAAAAACACTGATAGACATGGTTGAAAATAAGGGGCTTGAAACATTATTATGAACTGGATTCTCAGATTAAAGACTTTTTTTTTTCATTTTCCTCTCTTTGGATTTTAAATAACCATGTTGATTTTGTTTCAAATGCTTTTTCAATTTCAGTGATTTAAAATGCAGAGCTCTAAAAGCATTCAACTTTTTATCTCATTATAATGAGATAATTTATTTTTTATTATTTTAACAGTGGCGGAAACAGGCTTCCATAAGTATCAGAAATTTAAATTAAGAATGTGACTTCTGAGAAAAATAAAAAAAAATCAAATATATATATATATATATATATATATATATATATATATATATATATATATATATATAAAGTGTTTTCCTTTGCTAAATGACTAAAAGGCCTGCATTCCCACCTCCAGCCAGCAGAGGCGCTGATGAGTTTCTCCATCACCTCCTCAGCGTTTTAAACAAAGTGGGTGGCGCCAAAGCTTGACAACAAAGCGGCTGTTTAATGTCGGAATCAGGGCAACGGTTCAGAGTTGAACTTTTTAGCTCTGGATAAACCCGAGGCTGTGAAATCAGATTTGACTTAAATCTGATCCTCTATGAAGCGGAGCTGAAGCCAACATGGCTGCGAAGTCTGACAAACTTCTCATCGTAGTTTCCATTCTGGAAGGTGAGCTGGTTTAATTTTGGTATGTTAAATAAACGGGAGTTTATAGAGTAAATGGCTGCAGGTGTGTTTTTAACGCTGGTTCTGGAGGATACGGTCGCTTCTGGAGAACTTGGAGCTGTGATGGCTGCTGCTCTCGGTTCGCTTTAACCCCATTCATCAGGTGGTTCCACCTTCCCTTCACTGCTTGCTTTTCAGCAGTTGGACTGATTTATGGCAGAGTTGTCATGGTACTGGTCGCTAACAGCAACCTAAATCAGCAATGATTTCCATTTGAACGCTTTCTGCTGCCCTCAGTTGTTTACCAGCTTCATTATAATCACTTCTAATGAATAAAGATTCATAAATAGAGTTTAGACAGAGGAGTAAACTATTAATGTTTATTACTCCACTAGAAATATAAATATTACTGTTTAAAAACACTTATAGAAGTTACAGGATCTCTTTACTCTAGTTAAAGTGTAAATGTACCATTTTAAAACGACTTAAAGTATAAAAGTAATGCAGTAAAAACTGTTTTACTGCTCTGCCCTATTAAAGGAATATTTTTCTACTATTCTGAATAATAATTTCCTTAGACTTAATTTTCTTAGTTTTATAACTAATGGTATCAGTGTCACATTTTACTTTGCTTCATCTTGAAAAACGATTTATTTTGGTATGTGGTGAGCAACAAGTGGGGGCAGCACCAAGTTAAACCACAAAGAAATTGTCTGGATGAAACTAATTATTTTGATGGATTTTATTGTATTAAATACCAACAGGCCATAATGAAAACGAGCTTAAATGAAACAAAACTAACAAATTTATTTTTAAAATGTAAGGAGGAGAAAGTAAAAAGTTGTCTAAGAAACAATGACTCCAGTAAAGTATAGATAGCCAACAGTTCGTCTTAAGTACTAGGGGTGAGGGGAAAAATCGAGTTAGTGATATATTGTGATTTTCGGCCGATTTATATAATTTTTTTTCATTTAGTGGAAGAATAATAATGAACACAGTCGGATAAACACAATTATAATGAACATTTTGCCAAATAAAACAGAAAAATCCTCCAATCGGAGCCAGCCATCCTTCACACACGGTTGTGCAGAGAGAGGGCTGCTGCAGATGGGCTAATAAACAGAGGAGTGATCATAGCGCTCTGCATCAGCAGTGCTGTGTCTGACTCCCTGCCAGCTCCCAGATCAGCTTCTCTGATTGGTTGATGCGGCGTCCAGCGGGTAAAGTTCAATTTTTACAACTCCAGCAGCTGCTGCATTTGCAGCGTCTCAGATGCTCATGACTCACTGATCCTGCTGCTTTAAATGTGCTGCAGGACCTTTTTCAATGGATTTTTTTTTTTTATTAGAAATGTTTCTAATTTTTGGGACAATATGGTCTGATAAACAGTATATTTATATACATGTTTAAGCCAGAATGATCCTACAACTTCAAAAACACTCATCATTTATCGGACAGTACGTAATAATTTCATATTTAAAGTACTTTCAGAAGTTTGAGTTCGAACATGACCAGACATTTCCTTTAATGGCGTCCAGGCCGCCTGGAGAAAACGATGTGCTGCTTGTCTAAAGACGTTCTGGATGACTCAGCCTTTTTTCATGTCAAACTAAACAAACTTTCCTTCTTTAGGTCGAAATTTTCCAAAGAGCTCCCGCCTCAGTCTGGTGGTTCAGGCGAGCTTCGATGGAGAACAGCTGGAAACGGACCCGGTGGAGCACAGAGAGCAGCCCCAGTTCAACACTGAGCTGGCCTGGGAGCTGGACCGCAAGACGCTGCATCAGCACAGGTTCAGCCGGACCCTCCTCTGAACGTTTACATCCTCCGATGAGTTTAACGGGAGAGATAAGAAAGACAGGCTGATCCTAAACACTCATAGTGGATCAAAATTCACCAGCAGGAAGCTGAAGAATCAACCTTTTTACTGATGATCAACTTATTTCTGTGCAGTAAAGTTGGAGAAACTTTAACCACTAAAGCATCGACCAGTAATTAATTTCTAATTAGTTAATCTGTTGATTACTTTTCTCTGATAATCTGCTGCCTTAGAGGTGATTTTATGCAGAATTTAATCCCGGTGGAGATAAAGTTCTGCATAGAGCAGATTGACGTCGATCTGCTCTATGCAGAACTTTATCTCCACTTGGATTAATAAATGACTAAAATGGTTTGGAGATTATTTTAATGATCTTTGATACATTTTTTCAGTCCTGGTTAATCACTTAAAATAAAAACCAGATTGAGGTGAGATTTGTCCAGTAGAGCAGGAAGTATCGGTGATGGAAGCGGGTTCAGACTCCATAATGATCTCATCCGTCCTCTCAGGCTGCAGCGAACTCCCATCAAGCTCCAGTGTTTCGCTCTGGACTCCGCCAGCCAGCGGAAGGAGAACGTGGGCTACGTGGTTCTGGACCTGCGATCCGTCCCAGAGGTCCGGCAGGTAAGCGGCGTCAGGCCAGGCGGTTATCCGTCCGGAGCCCGTTACTGACGACCTGCGGTGTGTTTCAGGAGCCGCGCTGGCATCAGCTGCTCAACAGTAAATACACCAAACAGAGAGCGGCGCTCCTCGTCGGCGTCGTCCTGGAGAACGACTCCAAGGCTGCGGAGCCGTCGCCTGATAAATTCAGAGCCAAGAAGGCCCCGCCCCGACAAGGTCAGAGGTTCTGCTCTCACTTTGCTCACAAATCAGTTTGTTTGAGCGACGTTTATCCTTTTTATATAAAGGAAAAGTCCAGTCAGCACAGAATAATCAATGGATCATTATCTATACCTAAAACTAATATGTTTGTTGTTTCCGTTGGTCGTTAAAAATCATTATAAATCAGTGAATTATTTTTTTTTTTTAATTAAGGCCTTAATTAGCATTAAACTTCATTAAATGTGAATCGTGGCATTTAAAATGCTTTATTAAAAAAATACATTTATTTTAGATATAACTGGTTGTGTTTGCATGGAAATGCTTCCGGTTGATCGTAAAGCTTTATGTTTGGAAAATAAGCTGAAGGAGGATTTTGCTGTGTTGTGTATATATATATTAGGGGTGGAACGGTTCACAAAATCCACGGTTCGGTTCGATTCACGGTTTCTGGTCACGGTTTTCGGTTCAGTTCGATTTGATACATGTTGATTGTTACACTGAAATCCCATAAAAATGTATGAAATTAATGAAAAAATCCCCCCAAAATAATGGATTGTAATTATTTTAAATGATCCACGGAAACCCTGGATCATTTCCGTATGTTTTGCTGCTTTGAATTTAATCATCTGGCGCATGCTCTCTACCATCTCCAAGGAACTCAGAGCGGAGCGGACGGGAGCCACAGTGGAGGCTGTAGGCTTTGCTTTGAGCAGGCGGTCTGGAGCGCAGCGGGGCGGAGCGCTGACGGAGTATGTGGGATTTCGGTGTTAGCATGATATGTTGGTCACCCTACTGTTAGCATAAACAAAACCTGTTGCACAATGCTTGCACACTGTTGCACTTTTATCCACAGCTTTCTTCCCGCCGTCATCGTAGGTCACTCTAAATGCAAAGTGGTCCCATACAGCAGACCTATAAAGTGCTGCTGGCGCGTCTTCCAACTCCTGTTCTTTCCCACTCGCCATACCCACACAATTCTCCACAACAACTGATTTATTTCTGCTACACCCGGCTAAGCTGCTTCGCTTCTTCTTCTTTACTACTGGTGGTTGGCTTTGGTCGCAGTACCGCCACCTTCTGCTCTGGAGTGTAAACGCTTCGCCTATGAGAAAAAGGAGCAGCGCATGAACCGAACGAAACACGCGAATCGAATGGTTCAGACGGTTTTCATAAATCGTCCCATCCCTAATATACACGCAGCGAAGCCGAGGGTATCAGAAAAAATCAGTTGTTGTGGAGAATTGTGTGGGTATGGCGAGTGGGAAAGAACAGGAGTTGGAAGACGCGCCAGCAGCACTTTATAGGTCTGCTGTATGGGACCGCTTTGCATTTAGAGTGACCTACGATGACGGCGGAAAGAAAGCTGTGGATTAAAGTGCAACAGTGTGCAAGCATTGTGCAACACGTTTTGTTTATGCTAACAGCAACATGTCATGCTAACCCCGAAATCCCTCATACTCCGTCAGCGCTCCGCTCCGCTGCGCTCCAGACCAGCTGCTCAAAGCAAAGCCTACAGCCTCCACTGTGGCTCCCGTCCGCTCCCCTCTGAGTTCCTTGGAGATCGTAGAGGGCATGTGCCAGATGATTCAGTTCAAAGCAGCAAAACATGCAGAAATGATCCAGGGTTTCCACGAATCATAAAAAATAATTACAATCCATTCATTTTTTTTGGGATTTTTTCATTAATTTCATAAAAAAAATGTTTCATTAATTTTTAAAATTTTTATTACATTTTTTTTTTCGGTGTAACAATCAACATATACCGAACCGAAAACCGTGACCACGAAACCGTGAACCGAACTGAACCGCAGATTTTGTGAACAGTTCCACTCCTGGTAGGTATATATATATATACAGGGCTCGATGTTAACCATCGCCCGCTCTCTCGCGGCTAGTAGTTTTTATTGTCGGGAGAGTACAAATTTCATTGCATTTGCCCGCCGGGCGAGTGCAATGATCGCAAAAAAATTATTTATTGCTCAAAATTACTTTAAAATCATCGACATTCGATGAAAACGACCCACAAGCATTGCCTGTGCCATTTTTTTGTTGTTTTCTACACATTCCCGCATGATTTGAAAAAGCCACGTGATTTTCCGCCAGATGGCGTGATTTTTGTCCACGTAGTGGTAATTTCGATGTAGTTACCAAAATGACAAACAAGCTAGAAAGCGTCTTCTGTACAGTGATGCAGGTCATACTTTAAAAACGTTTTAAAAATTTTATAATATTGTCTTGTTGCTGCATTTATATGGAAGCAAATTGTTACCATATTTAAAATGAAAAAGCATTTTCAGAAATGTTTTTTCATTTTCAAATTTTACATTTCAAATTGAATTTTGGTATGTATTTGCTGGGGTACATTTTGAAAAATAAATCTCAAATTTCTTTTTCATCTTAAGTAAAAGGATGAGCAGTGTTGAAGAAGGAATTCAAAATGCAAACAGGATTATTGATTACTAATTTATTTTATGAGTCAAACAATTCAGCCACAATCTTAAAATGAAAAAGCATTTCTGGAAATGCTTTTTCATTATAAATATGGTAACGATTTGCTTCCATGCATTTATTTTGTCAGGGAAAACTAATCCTGAGTCAGTTAAAAATCAGGGAATTCTGAAATGATGTCAGACTGTGGAAACCCTGAATAAAATAACTATGTATAATGATTCTCTAGAAAAGTCACATTATATTAATAGTATTATCTTGTATAAACATACCGTGACTCTAAAATAAAAGTTATTCATTTGTGACATTGACTTCTGTCTTGTGATTAATCTCAAGTTTTTAACCTGTCAAGTTTTTTTAGATTTTTAACATTACAATTTATATTTTTCCAAGCACACAACAGTTTAAAGCAAAGTATAGTTTGAAAAGAATGTGCAGGAAGAATTGAAAAGCATGTTAACACGGTAATGTAGGATGGAGTTCATTATCTGACGCATGCAGATACACACCAGGAACCTGGAAACTTAAAAAATACTGAATTACAAAAAACATTTAAACAACAAACATGTTTCATTGATATATATACAAAAATGAATATTAGGAACTACATTTGAATAAAAATGTTCTTCATGCTCCGCCTGTTTTCTGCTGCAGGTCCCGCCTCCGTCAGCAACCTGCTCCCTGAGAAGCTGCAGGCCCAGCTGGTCCCAGACCAGGGCTACCATCAGGTGGGGCCGGCGGAGCGCTGCAGCGACATGTTTATCCTCTCTGTCACCGTGGCCTTCGCTACCAAACTGGAGCAGGTAGAGATGCGCTTTATTCAGGGTCTACGGGCATCAGGGCCCTTCACTGTAACGTTTTATACTCCACCTTCATCAAGCTGTAATTATTTAAATAAAATCGCTCCAAAGATCCTGCTGGTTCCTTAGAGAGGAAGAGAGGACGAGGCCGCCAGCTGCTGGTCGCCATTAGGGGTGTAAATCATCCATCATGGGGATTCGATTCAGTATCGAATTCCTGACCCAACGATTCGATTATTTTCGATACTCATGAATACACCACGATACGATTCGATTAATCGGTTTATTTATTTTTTTTTTTTACACCTTACAGGCTAAACAAAGTTTCAAGTTTTTTTTTTTAGAAACAACAGCAAATAACAGAAGTAGAAAAGTTGCATCAGAAAATACTGCACAGAATCAGTGCAATGAGTTTTATGACCGAAATTGCGGAAAACAACTCGTGAAGTTTGACCCGCTAGAAGAGCGAGGTGCGCGAGAACGCTGGGACCCTTTTTCCACCTGGATCTCCGCTCTTTTTGGCCCTCATGTCCCTCCATCGTCGGACTAAACTCGCCCCCACTTCCTCTCCGCCTCGGCCGTATCTAGACCCACAGCGTGTAGCACAGACCACGCTTCAATACTGAGCATAAATCAAAAATGTCTGCATCAAGCTCACTGCGACACACTGCTGTAAGAGTATAACCAGGAAGCGAGGTAGGAGGGCAAAATAGGTTTAGCGCCACCGCAGCACGGGAGGAGAATTACACCCAGGAGCAAATGGATAAAAATAGACCGGAGAAAAAATAAAACATGAATCGATTCTCTTGCGGACGTATTGATGCATCGGATCGTCGGCTGTTTGATCGATGCATCGATAGAAAATGATTATTTACACCCCTAGTCGCCATCAATGTTAGTGGTGTACGGGTCCTACGCATGTCAGTGACGTTACGCTACACGATTGGCTGAACGTTGCCACATGACGTAAAACATCGTGGTTGCCTAGACAACGATAACATCACGCAGCGTCCGTTAGCATCTCTAACAACCAATGAAGTTTTACCTGATCGATAACAAAACTGAAAGAAATCTGTTTCTGGTGAACTAAGTAACCCTGATATAAAGGGGAAGAGCTGAGTAGCGCTGTGGCTAGCTGTAGCTAACAGGTTAGCCTCTTTTAGCTCAGTCAGTTAGCCACACTACTTTTAAATTTCTGTCAACAACAACCGTTCATTTTCTACAAGTAGAATAACTTGTTTTCTTGGTCTAAAATCTCTACAAACGTCATTTTTTAGGATGTTAAATTTGTCCTCTCCTGCCCTCAGATCTTAATAAAAAGAATAAAAATAAGCAGAGAATTTTTGGCTCCTTGTTAAATAGCAGAGCTCAGTCTGTCTTAGAACGCAGTTCTTTCCTTCCAGACTGACCATGATTGTTTTCTACTTTCAGCTACTATAGATTAGTGATGAAATGTAAAATAAGAGAAAATATGGGGCACTGAAAAAATCAAAATCTAGATGAGTCATTTTTTCTTGAAATAAGTTTGTTGTTGGATTGAGGAGGTGGAAGTCAGAGAGAAGGTGGATCGAGGGGTGGGGGGTGTCACAGGGCGGGCCGCTGGTCCTGAAAACTGAAACTTTCTGTTGCAGCTGATTCCCAGCACAAAGAAACTGTTGGCGGAGGACTCTGGTTTCTTCTTCTACTACACTCTCCTGGGGAATGACATCACCAGCGAGCCTTTCCACAACCTGCTGAGTCCAGACTTCGAGCCGGAGCGCGCCTCTGTGCGAATTCGTAGCAGCAAACGGCTCCTCCGGGCCTTCCTGTGGCAGCAGCCCTGCCTACAGGTCAGTCTGAGTGTCAGATCCGAGCCTCGCTACGCCGCGGTTCGGGTCCTGACGCTCCGCTCTCTCCTCAGATCCACCTGTGCTATGGGGATCGTTCCCTGGGCAGCACCGACGTCCCGCTCTCTGGTCTGGCTGATGGTTCTGAACACCTGGAGGAGAAGGCCGCCACAGTGGAGGGAGCGTTCGTCGTGAGGCCTCCCAGACGCTCCCAGCTACCGCCGCTGCCTGCAGACCAGCAGCCTACGGTCGGAGTGGCCGTTACTCTGAGGAGGGAGGAGCCTCGGCCCCCAACGCAGCACAGGAAGGAGCCCCGGCCCCAAACGGACCTGGAGCCTCCAACTCAGGTAGATCAGTTTATTTAAGTGATTTCTGTTGGTTCTTTTCCCACGAGGCATTGCAGGAAAGTCAGGAAAGGCTCTATTCAGGCTGTTTCAACATTCACAAAAGCGTTAGCGGGCTAACTGGAGTTAACCTTAGAGGTCCGCTGGTTGCCACGGTCCTCTCGACATTCGAACTTTTTTAAAATTACGCACTAAATTAGTAAATAGGCCACATAGTGATGCTAAAACTATAATGTTCTCTGAAAACATAGTTTTGTAGAACAACAGCTACAGAAAATGGAACTTAAATCGATCATATATGGCTGAATGGACGATCCTTTAAATGTTTAGACTGAGTCTAACAGCTGGTTCGGATTCTGCTGAAAACACCAAGAACTTTGCTGCAGCCAATCAGAACTGTCCTGGACTGGACTGCAGCGGTTCCTTCTGTTCTTACTTAGAACAGCCACATGGGGGCAGCAGAAACTGTTGAACCAACAGCAGCTCAATGAGTTTAGAGCCGGATAAACCCGATGAGCCGGAGATCCTCCTGAAAATATTTCTGTAAAGGTTACCTTTATCTTGAAAGTGGACGAAATGGGGCTGTTTGGTCGGCGGCGGTCTCTGTAGACGGCTCCATCGGGCGCCGCCACCACGCCTCACTATAGAACCGGTTCTATAAAAACCTTCCTTCAGTTCCCAAACCTTTGATTGTGATCAGAAATATTAATCAAACGGCTGAACTGTCCAGTTCAGAACCTCTGTGCTTCCTCTCAGATGTCTCGTCTCTTTTCAGACTCCGGGGTACAAAGATCCCAGCAGACGTCCATCTCTCGGCGTCCCTCCTGCTCAGAGTCCGTCTCCGGTCCAGAATCCTCCTGAATCCTCTCCTCCTCTTCCTCCTCCTTCCTCTCGTACAGAGAGCGAAGCGGAGAGCCTTCCGGAGGAGGCGGAGCTCCACAGGAAGCAGGCAGCAGCTGATCTCAGCAGACCTGCATCTGACAGCGCGGCAGCTGAGCGTCCTCCTGTGGACGCCGATGGTGGAGGACCTGGAGCTCCTCCTGAGGGCGGAGCTTCATCAGTCAGCGTCTCCGCTCCCAAGGTGTCCATCCCGTCCTCTGCCCATCACTACTGCTTCTCTCTGGACCTGCGCAGCCTGGGGAAGCTCTCCCTGCCTCACCCCATCGCCGCCACGCTCAGGTGAAGACATTCCGGAACCTTCTCCCAGCTGAACTCAGCTCCTCCTCCCAGTTCCTAACCAGTACCAGTTCTTCTGCAGGTACTCGTACCAGTTCTTCGGCAGCTCGGCTCCCATCGTGACCAACCCCCCGGTGGAGCTGCAGAGGAACATGGAGGCGACTCCGCCTCAGTCCTACTGCGCCTTCGACTTCGCGGCGCTGCCACACCAGCTGCAGGAGACCTTCCTGAGGTAGGAGATCCCCCTCCAGCGCTGCGGTTCTGTGTGATGGAGATCTGCAGCTCTAACCTTGCTGTTCTAGGGTTCCCCTGGTGGTGGAGCTGTGGGACCGAGGCTCCGCCAGCAGAGACGAGCTGATGGGAGTCGCCTCCATCCAGCTGCAGCGCCTCCTCAGCTCAGAGAAGACCAGGCTGGCCGGAGCGCCGGGGGAGCCCAGCTGGAGACGGACCCACCGGGACCGGGTCCCTGTGGTCCACCCGCAGCGGTAGGAGCGGTTCTGGCTGCTGATGGGGGGGGGGACATCCGCAGAGCTTAACGTCTGTCCTTCAGGCCCACAGAGGCGGTGGCTGAGCTGAGCTACGAGGCGACGCTGGAGGACCTGGGCTTCGTCAGAGCCAAGCAGGTCCTGCTGTCGGACTCCTCACAGGTGGGGACCGCGGCCCGCTTCTGGTACCGCTCCATCCGGGAGCCTCTCTGATTTCTACAATCCTGAATCAACCTGTTCTGATCCCATTTGCTTCCTTTGTTCCATCTGAAGAACGAACGTCCAACCGTCCCTCAGTTCGCTTCTCACCCTGCAGCCCCAAAACGGACCATTCAGGGGCCCCCAGCGGCTCCCGTCACAACCAGAGACACCCTGGAGTACCAAGCTGCCCTGGAGCTGGAGATGTGGAAGGAGGAGCAGGAGGACCTGTTTGATGATCAGGTAGAATCAGGTTGTGGTCAGACGGAACGTTCCAAACCAGGAGGAACCAACCCAGCTTAGTCTGATCCTCTTCAGAGGGTCTGTTCAGCCCGCTGGCCACACCCACTATGGTTAGATCATGGCAGATCTCCATCATCATCATGTCAGAGCTTTTCCTTAACGCTGTAGCCGCTACGTTTTGGATTTAAGCTTAAAAAACAACCAGCCTACATGCAATTTGGGAGTGTGTGCACCTTCCCAAAGCTGTGAGCTCAGCTTTGGATCATTTCAGCTGCTTTATGAGGTCCTGCTGTTTGCATCCAGAGCAGAAATGACTGATGTCTCATACCAAACCAAGTTTAGATCAACATGATTGACTGAAACGGTTCTTTCAGTATATCTCTATAGTTCTGCTGCTATAGGCTTAGACTGCTGGAGGACATAGGGACCCCTTTTTCATCATTCTGCTTCATTCTATCTCTATTCTCCCACTCTGCAGAATCTGTTAGTTCAATCTCTAACGTTCTGCTCTCTCTGCTTTTTCTCATAGTAGCTTCATCTGGTCTGTTCCTGTTTGGCTGTGACTCCATCCTGGAGAGAAATATCAGCTGTGCTGCTGCCATCAACACCTTTGTTTCTAGATGTTGGAGCTTGGCCTGTTTTCCAGTGTAGTCCTGTTTCTCTGACTGTGACTAACTGGATGTGCTCTCTTCATCCTCTGACATGGGAGCTGGCTCGGAGCTCGTCTGCCTGGCTGTGTGTTTCCTGGACGGGGCCGCCTGTGGAGCTGGTTGACAGTTGCCTTTTGTATCTATGCTTCTTTTTCTATGTCTGCTTCTGTCTCCTTGAACCCCAGTGGGCCTCAGCAGATGGCCGCTCACACTGAGCCTGGATCTGCTGTAGGTTTCTTCCTGTTCAAAGGGAGTTTTTCCTCTCCACTGTCGCTACAGGCATGCTTAGTGTGAGGGATTGCTGAAGAGTCAATGAGTCGAGTTGAATGAGTTGCAATCAGCTGGTTTCCCTTGGATAGAAAACCTTATAGAAAACTTCTATGAAACCTGATGGAAACATTTAAATGGTGCAAATATGAGCTTGATAATCAGCTGATTGATTAGGGGCAGATAAATGATGTTGCTGGAGCTTACAATGCAGATAAATATTTTTTATGAAGTTCTTCCATCAAATTTAGAAAATATTCAGCTTCAGAATAAGGTTAGAAATTTTTACATTTACTAAATTATTCTGTTATTTCTCCAGAAACACACAGAATGAAAGAGGATTTAGAAGTTGTGGAGATGGACCGCGGTTCTGTTCCTGTTGTGCAGGATTAAAGTCTGAGTCCGATTAAAGGTCCGAGATGTTCTGCTCGTTTGTTTCAGCTGCGGCAGAAGGAGCTGAGGCACATGCAGGCGCTGGCCGAGGAGTGGAGGAAGAGGGACAGAGAGAGGGAAGCTCTGGTCAACAAGAAGGTGAGGAGTCCCTGACCCGTCGTGTCCCGTCCTGACCTATCCTGACCCGTCCTGTCCCGTCCTGACCTATCCTGACTCGTCTTTACCCTTCCTGACCCGTCCTTACCCATCCTGACCCATCCTGACCTATCCTGCCTCGTCCTTACCCATCCTGACCCGTCCTTACCCATCCTGTCCCGTCCTGACCTATCCTGACCCGTCCTTACCTGTCCTGACCTATCCTGACTCGTCCTGACCCATCCTGACCCGTCCTGACTTATCCTGACCCGTCCTTACCTGTCCTGACCTATCCTGACTCGTCCTGACCCATCCTGACCCGTCCTGACCCATCCTGACTCGTCCTGACCCATCCTGACTCGTCCTGACCCATCCTGACCCGTCCTTACCCATCCTGACCCATCCTGACCCGTCCTGACCCATCCTGACCCGTCCTTACCCATCCTGACCTATCCTGACCCATTCTGACCCGTCCTGACCCATCCTGACCTATCCTGACCCGTCCTGACCCATCCTGACCCGTCCTGACCTATCCTGACCCGTCCTGACCCATCCTGACCCGTCCTGACCCATCCTGACCCGTCCTGACCTATCCTGACCCGTCCTGACTCGTCCTTACCCATCCTGACCCATCCTGACCCGTCCTGACTCGTCCTGACCCGTCCTGACCCATCCTGACCTATCCTGACCCATCCTGACCCGTCCTGACCCATCCTGACCCATCCTGACCCGTCCTGACCCGTCCTGACCAGTCCTGACCCATCCTGACCCATCCTGACCCGTCCTGACCCATCCTGACCCATCCTGACCCATCCTGACCCATCCTGACCCGTCCTGACCCGTCCTGACCCATCCTGACTCGTCCTTACCCATCCTGACCTATCCTGACCCATCCTGACCCGTCCTGACCCATCCTTACCCATCCTGACCCATCCTGACCTATCCTGCCTCGTCCTTACCCATCCTGACCCGTCCTTACCCATCCTGTCCCGTCCTGACCTATCCTGACCCGTCCTTACCTGTCCTGACCTATCCTGACTCGTCCTGACCCATCCTGACCCGTCCTGACTTATCCTGACCCGTCCTTACCTGTCCTGACCTATCCTGACTCGTCCTGACCCATCCTGACCCGTCCTGACCCATCCTGACTCGTCCTGACCCATCCTGACTCGTCCTGACCCATCCTGACCCGTCCTTACCCATCCTGACCCATCCTGACCCATCCTGACCCGTCCTTACCCATCCTGACCTATCCTGACCCATTCTGACCCGTCCTGACCCATCCTGACCCATCCTGACCTATCCTGACCCGTCCTGACCCATCCTGACCTGTCCTGACCTATCCTGACCCGTCCTGACCCATCCTGACCCGTCCTGACCCGTCCTGACCTATCCTGACCCGTCCTGACTCGTCCTTACCCACCTGACCCCTCCGACCCATCCTGACTCGTCCCTTTCCATCCCGACCCATCCTGACCCCTCCTACCCATCCTGATCTCCTTACCCATCCTTACCTATCCCGACCCATCCGACCCTCCCCTGACCCACCCCGACCCGGGGGGTTTTCCCTCCTGACCCATTCCCCTGACCCATCCCGACCTATCCACCCCTCCCGACCCGTCCTGACCCTCCTGACCCCATCCTGGCCCGTCCTGACCCGTCCGACCATCCTACCCATCCTGACCGCCTACCCATCCTGACCCATCCGGACCCGCCTCCCCCTCCTACCCATCCTGACTCGTCCCTTACCCATCCTGACCTACCTGACCCCTCCGCCCTCCTGACCCATCCTTACCCTCCCCGACCTATCCTGACCCTCCTGACCCCTCCCGACCCATCCTGACCCACCCTGACCCGTCCTGACCCCCTCCTACCCCTCCTGACTCGTCCCGAACCCTCCTGACTTTGTCCTGACCCGCCCCCTTACCCATCCTGACCCATCCTGACCCGTCCTGACCCGTCCTGACCCATCCTGACTCGTCCTGACCCATCCTGACTCGTCCTGACCCATCCTGACCCGTCCTGACCCATCCTTACCCATCCTGACCTATCCTGACCCATCCTGACCCGTCCTGACCCATCCTGACCCATCCTGACCCGTCCTGACCCGTCCTGACCCATCCTGACCCGTCCTGACCCATCCTGACCCGTCCTGACCCATCCTGACCCGTCCTGACCCGTCCTGACCCATCCTGACCCGTCCTGACCCGTCCTGACCCATCCTGACTCGTCCTGACCCATCCTGACTCGTCCTGACCCATCCTGACTCGTCCTGACCCATCCTGACTCGTCCTGACCCATCCTGACCCTTCCTGACCCGTCCTGACCCATCCTGACTCGTCCTTACCCATCCTTACCTATCCTGACCCGTCCTGACCCATCCTGACCAGTCCTGACCCATCCTGACCCATCCTGACCCGTCCTGACCCATCCTGACCTATCCTGACCCGTCCTGACCCATCCTGACCCGTCCTGACCCATCCTGACTCGTCCTTACCCATCCTGACCTATCCTGACCCATCCTGACCCGTCCTGACCCATCCTGACCCGTCCTTACCCATCCTGACCTATCCTGACCCATCCTGACCCATCCTGACCCATCCTGACCCGTCCTGACCCATCCTGACTCGTCCTGACCCATCCTGACCTATCCTGACCCATCCTGACCTATCCTGACCCATCCTGACCCATCCTGACCCGTCCTTACCCATCCTGACCTATCCTGACCCGTCCTGACCCATCCTGACCCATCCTGACCCGTCCTTACCCATCCTGACCTATCCTGACCCATCCTGACCCATCCTAACCCATCCTGACTCGTCCTTACCCATCCTGACTCGTCCTTACCCATCCTGACCCGTCCTGACCCATCCTGACCCGTCCTGACCCATCCTGACTCGTCCTTACCCATCCTGACCCGTCCTGACCCATCCTGACTCGTCCTTACCCATCCTGACTCGTCCTTACCCATCCTGACTCGTCCTTACCCATCCTGACCCATCCTGACTCGTCCTTACCCATCCTGACTCGTCCTTACCCATCCTGACCCGTCCTGACCCATCCTGACCCGTCCTGACCCATCCTGACTCGTCCTTACCCATCCTGACCCGTCCTGACCCATCCTGACTCGTCCTTACCCATCCTGACCCGTCCTGACCCATCCTGACCCGTCCTGACTCATCCTGACCCGTCCTGACCCATCCTGACTCGTCCTTACCCATCCTGACTCGTCCTTACCCATCCTGACCCGTCCTGACCCATCCTGACTCGTCCTTACCCATCCTGACCCGTCCTGACCCATCCTGACTCGTCCTTACCCATCCTGACCCGTCCTGACCCATCCTGACCCGTCCTGACCCATCCTGACTCGTCCTTACCCATCCTTACCTATCCTGACCCATCCTGACCCATCCTGACCCATCCTGACCCGTCCTGACCCATCCTGACCTATCCTGACTCGTCCTTACCCATCCTGACCCATCCTGACTCGTCCTTACCCATCCTTACCTATCCTGACCCATCCTACCCGCCTGACCCAACCGACCCTCCCGACCCCTCCCGACCCGTCTGACCCCTCCTACCCATCCTGACCCGTCCGCCCTCCTACCCGTCCTGACCCGTCCTGACCCATCCTGACTCTCCCGACCCACCCGACTCGTCCGACCCATCCTGACCCTCCCGACCCATCCTTACCCCTCCTACCTATCCTGACCCATCCACCCGTCCCGACCCATCCTGACCCATCCTGACCCTCCGAACCCCCTCCTGACCCCCCTTCTCGTCCTACCCTCCTGACTCGCCTGACCCTCCTGACCCGCCTGACCCCCTACCCCTCCTACCCTCCTACCCGTCCCGACCCCTCCTGACTCGTCCCGGGCCCCTCCTGACTGTCCCGACCCACCTGACTGTCCTGACCCATCCTGACTCGTCTGACCCATCCTGACCCTTCCCGACCCGCCCGACCCATCCTGATCTCCTTACCCATCCTTACCTATCCGACCCGTCCTACCCATCCGACCGTCCGACCCTCCTGACCCATCCCACCCGTCCCGACCCTCCGACCTATCCGACCCGTCCACCCATCCCGACCCTCCTACCATCCTGACTCGTCTTACCCATCCTGACCAACCTGACCCCCTCCCGACCCCCTCCCGACCCATCCTGACCCTCCTTACCCATCCTGACCTATCCCACCCTCCTGACCCATCCGGGCCCATCCGACCCGTCCTGACCCCTCCTGACTCTCCCGACCCATCCTGACCTATCCTACCCATCCTGACCTATCCTGACCCTCCTGACCCATCCCGACCCGTCCTTACCCCTCCTACCTATCCCGACCCTCCCGACCCATCCTGACCCCTTGACCCGTCCTTACCCCCTCCGACCTACCGACCCATCCTGACCCATCCTAACCCATCCTGACCGTCCTTACCCATCCTGATCGTCCTTACCCCTCCTGACCCGTCCCGACCCATCCCGACCCCTACCCACCTGATCGTCCTTACCCATCCTGACCCGTCCCGACCCCTCCTACTCGTCCTTACCCATCCTGACTCGTCCTTACCCATCCTGACTCGTCCTTTCCCATCCTAACCCCCCTATCGCCTTACCCATCCTATCGCCTTACCCCCTGACCCTTGACCCCTCCCGACCCTCCTGACCCCCCTGATGTCCTTTCCCTCCTGACCCGTCCGACCCATCCTGACCCCTCCTTTACCATCCTGACCCGCCTGACCCATCCTGACCCTCCTGACTCTCCGACCGTCCGACCCTCCTGACTCGTCCTTACCCCTCCTGCTCTCCTTACCCCTTCCGACCCTCCTGACCCATCCTGACCTCCCTTTCCCCTCCTGACCCGTCCGACCCATCCTGACTCGTCCTTACCCCCTCCTAAACCTCCTGACCCCTCCTGACCCGTCCTGACCCATCCTGATTTCCTTTCCCATCCTTACCTATCCGACCCCTCCTGACCCATCCTGACCCATCCCCGACCCGTCCTGACCCATCCTGACCTATCCTGACTGCCTTAACCCCTCCTGACCCATCCTGACTCGCCTTACCCCTCCCTTAAACCCATCCTGACCCATCCTGAACCCCCTGCCCATCCTGACCCGTCCTGACCCATCCTGACCCGTCCTGACCCATCCTGACCCATCCTGACCCGTCCTGACCCATCCTGACCCGTCCTGACCCGTCCTGACCCATCCTGACCCGTCCTTACCCGTCCTGACCCGTCCTGACCCGTCCTGACCTATCCTGACCCGTCCTTACCCGTCCTGACCTATCCTGACCCGTCCTTACCCGTCCTGACCCATCCTGACCCGTCCTGACCCGTCCTGACCTATCCTGACCCGTCCTTACCCGTCCTGACCTATCCTGACCCGTCCTTACCCGTCCTGACCCATCCTGACCCGTCCTGACCCATCCTGACCCGTCCTTACCCGTCCTGACCTATCCTGACCCGTCCTTACCCGTCCTGACCCGTCCTTACCCGTCCTGACCTATCCTGACCCGTCCTTACCCGTCCTGACCTATCCTGACCCATCCTGACCCGTCCTTACCCGTCCTGACCTATCCTGACCCGTCCTTACCCGTCCTGACCCGTCCTTACCCGTCCTGACCTATCCTGACCCGTCCTTACCCGTCCTGACCTATCCTGACCTATCCTGACCCGTCCTGACCCGTCCTGACCCGTCCTGACCCATCCTGACCCGTCCTGACCCATCCTGACCCGTCCTTTTTGTTGGGGGTTTTCCCTTACCCGTCCTGACCCGTCCTGACCCATCCTGACCCGTCCTGACCCATCCTGACCCGTCCTTACCCGTCCTGACCCATCCTGACCCATCCTGACCCGTCCTTACCCGTCCTGACCCATCCTGACCCGTCCTTACCCGTCCTGACCCGTCCTTACCCGTCCTGACCCG